TCCCAATCCTCTCCACAATTAAAACAAAACAAGTTGGGAGTGAAAAAAGAAACTAAGGAAGTGTCTGTGAGCGTAGTGAGAAACAGAGGGAAAGAGTGATTAAGTAATGAGTGTATCATAGTCTCTCTTCGGCGCCCCCCGCCTTCCTTTCATCTCTGCAATTAAAACAAAGAGGTTTGTGTAAAATGGGAAAAGTATGAAGTGAGAGTGTGCCAGGGTAGTGAGAAACACAAAGTGAAAGAGTGACTACATAATGAGTGGATTTCAGTGTTTTTGGCACCACTCCCCATCCCTCTCCCTTTCCTCCCTGCAATTAAAACAAACAAGTTAGAGTAAAATAGGAAAAGTATGAACTGAGAGTGAGCGTAGTGAGAAACATGAGTGAGCTTCTTCTCCTCTTCCTCTTCCTTCCCTTTTCTTCTGTCTCCTCCTCCTCCTTCTCTTCCTCCTCTTCTTCCTCCTCCTCTTCTTCCTCCTCCTCCTGTTTTTCTTCCTGTTCTTCCTCCTCCACCTCCTTCCCCTCTACATCTTCTTCCTCCTCCTCCTCCTCCTCCTCCTCCTCCTCCTCCTCCTGCTCCTCTCTCGATGCCCACGATGCCCCCGAGATGGCTCACAGGTGACAGACATCTTGCAGAAGGTTACCTAAATATGGCCCCTTTAATTGGCCCCTCCCTGGTGCCTGTCTGGGGGAGTTGTTTAGCTGTTGGGTGCCCTACTTCCTCCTCATTAGCACTTGGAGATTGTCTCACAGGCCGGGAATGTCTACAGTCTAGTCTTTGCTGTGTCAGGGCTAGCTTCCTTTAATAAGACCTGAGCCCACATGCCTATAATGCATGCACACACATACAGTTAGTTACATCAGTGTGTGGATGGGTGTGAAGTGATGCATACTAGCATTTACAGATTTGACCACCACCCCTCCCCCCTTCTCTCTCTATCTGTCTCTCTGTGTCTGTCTGTCTGTCTGTCTGTCTGTCTGTCTGTCTGTCTGTCTGTCTGTCTGT